CCCTCCCCCCCCCCCCCCCCCGTGCAAAGCAGAGTCCTGCCTGCCCTCGGGCCGTTCTTGCGGCCAACGCAGGCAGCATCCTTGCTCCCCCACTGCCTGCACAGTCACACGTTGTTAAAATGCTTTACGGCTGCTTTTGTGCAACACGCTCAGCTTGGTTGTTGCTTCCCTGCGAGCCTCTTGTGCAAAGCTCCGCCATTCGGCGTATAGAGCAGGTGCCGGGAAATTCAGAGAGAAAACTTTAGCAGGCCGTAAATGCCACCCCTCCCTGCTCCTAGAAGAGACCCCGCCCAGAGGCTTAATGTGGGGGAGGTCCTGCCCACCTGCTGCCAGTCTGAGCTCAACAGCCCGCAAACAGCCCCCACTGCCTCTGGACCCTCCTGGGTCTGGGGCCGAGAGCCCCTGAGCACCAGTCCACGGAAGCAGCCTTGGCGCTCCTTGGCCTGCCAGAGGGGCCTTTGCAGTGTAGATATAAAAAAGCGGGGGGGGGAACTGGTTCACCAGTAGGAATGCCCCGCAGTGAGGAGAAACTGCTTGGGTCGGAATGCCAGCGCTGGGGCCTGGCTCGGGGTCCTGATCCCCCCCCCACTTACCTGTCTCTGCACTCAGGTACATGGAATCGAAGCCAGGCTGGTAGTTCCTGGAGTGGAAGTGGAGGGTGAGCGCAAAGGGCTGCCCCCTCCTCACGGCCAGCTGCCCACTGCTCGTCTCAGCTGTGTGGTGCGCACGGTTGTTCTCTGGGCCATGCCAGTCCACGAAGGCCAGCTGCAGTCCTGCGGCGGCACAGGTGGGGAGTCTCCCTCTGAGGTGCCCCGGGGCAGAGCTCAGCTCCTCTCCCACCGCCCCGCTGCCCCTCTCTGGCATCCTGCTGGCCGCCCTACCTCCAGCCATGCTGCTCCCGCTCCCAGGCTCTTCTTGCGAATGCCTGCAGGCTGCATCTGGCGGAAGCCAAAGAGGCTCCAGGTGTGGCAGCTGCTGGGCATGGCGGCCTGGCCGACTCACCTTCCTGCTCCGTCACCAACTTGCTGGCACAGCAGCACCCACCCAAAAGCCGCCCAGGTGTGGGCGCAGTTCACACTTGCTGAAAAGGCACATCAGCACTCTTAGCATAAGGGAGAGGACGTCGAGGGACGGGGTGGGGGGCATTGTGGAGTCACAGTCGTGCGTGCTCTTCTGTCCTCCCTGTGGGTGGAACAGATCCTGCGCAGCAGACCAAGTAGGAGCCGCAGGCCGTGGCTCCCAGTGGCCCTTGGGCCGTGGGGCGGGAGTGCTGCAGCCCGGAGCTGCATTCACGCAGTTCCTTGACTTCGGGAGCTCGGCATCACTTTGTGCCCATTTTCACGCTGCAGGGGCCTCTGGCCGGCTCCCCCTTCCCCACCAAGGCAGCCTGAGCCTGCCTCCCCCTTCCACAGCCTGCCTTGGGAAGACTGGCTGGCTTCCCAGGAGCCCAACCTGCCCCCCACTGCCCCTCTGGGGGCAGCCTTAGCCCGTTTCCTCTCCTGCCCACTTGCCCCCCTCCCCCCCCTCTCCTCCTCCCCCCCCCCCCCCC